TGAATTTAGGATCACTCAGTGTTAAAGGTCCAGTCTTTATATCATGAAGATAGAAAGAACAAAAACAGATGTAAAGAGTTTAGTGTTTTATTATCAATGCACAATAAACACATATTGTATGATACAATAAAATTAATAAATAAAAATATTTTATATGGAGATGAAATTCTTTCTTGTTATCTTTGAGTTATTGAACACCGGTACACAGGCCATACTAATATTCCATTATGCCACCTGTTTACGGATTGTGTTAAATAAACACATGGAACTCCTGGATTATGATCAATACGGAAATGACCCTCACTGAATGTCTGTGATCTAACCCTTTCACCACTGTAGACCATAATGGACTTGTCCATATCAATGTATAGTATTGTCTACTAAAGTTACATAGGGGTGAAAGGGTTAAAGGGAAGTTCCACTGAAAGTCTTCTACCCTGTTTTACACATGAACAAAATGTGACAGAAGGGACTACAGAAGGATATAGGAGCTGGAATTCATACAAAGGTACCGGCTAAGTTTACAAACACTATGTACAGAAATGTGTTGTCTTCATGAAGGGGGAAGATGCAGATGTAACATTCTCTTACGGAATGTTCTACTTTTTTTCTGGAGAAGATGTAAATTTTAATGAACAACTCTCAAAATATGATTGCTCTATACTTTACCAACGTTAGGTTACAAAACTCACCAGACTATCTCCTAAACGTTTAATTGCAATTTAATTTCCATGATAAAACCTTATAATTAACTGGTAAAAAATGTACTAATTACATGTGTAAAAGATGATATTATGGCATCAAAATTTTATATTTCTAAAGGAATTTCAAAGCAACAGTTCAAGAATTTAAGTCTTGTTAAGTCAAGAATGCTCGACTTTTGTTAGGGATGGGATCATATGACACAAGGGGTTGTGACAAGGACCGAATGTGTTACGATCTGTGAAATGTGATTAGTTGGTATAGTCATGAAACATAATATATTAACAGTATAACATATTCTAGTCTTAGGCAATCACAAGATTTACCATCTCTTCACTCCATCTCTTCACTAACTTGACTCAGGAGTACATTACATCAATTCAAAAACTACATAAACTTAGTTATCAGTCTACAAAATACTGATATAATTTTGTAATTATAATAACAAAACTGTCAGGTTTCAAAACCACAGAGGAATATTGACCTTAATAGGGGAGATATCTCACACCGACTCCAACATTTGAGCCCCCCAACAAACCCTCTAACAATATTTATACATTGTGTAGGGTGTGTGTTGGGAGTGCTGTATCTCAGCAATATAGGTCAAAGCAAGTCTTTTAGTACTGCTTCTAAGACATGTTCAACATTCTGTACATAATTCACTACAAATTATACCTGTGATTTATATTGAGTTTCCTCCCTTTCATATTTAATTTGATCATACTTCAGATTTAACCGAGTAAATATCAATGACTCTGCTAGTGTGAGTTTGAATTGTGACATCAATTCAATATGTTTACCTCTTAGATCGGAACTCTGTTGGAGAGGAGATATTTAAATGTCACAGTAAGGTTTTCCATCTTTTTGTATTGCAGAGTTATCTGCTCTTGTGAGCAGGTATTGATTGTTACGTCATTAGTTTGTGTGAGAAAATTACGTCGTTTTTCTCAAACAAGAGGCCCAATGGGCCTGCATCGCTCACCTGGTATTAATCTCACACTTGTAATCTTAAAAGTTGACTAAAATACAGCTACAGGCAGAATATCAGTGTTTGATTCATAAGAACCTATTAAAAGATTTAAACATATGATGCCTGTGACCTTGAATGTCGAACAAGGACATTAGGTTGAACAGAGTTTTTAGTCTTCCAACCCAGCATGCTTCTGGCAAAATATCATTACCCTGGACCTTTTGGTTATACAGAACAAATCATTTAAAGATTTAAATATCTATTGACCACTGTGACCTTGAATATGGGTGAAGGTCATTCACTTGGTAGTCCTTCATCCCAGCATGTTAATGGCCAAATATCATCACTCTTGGCCTTTTGCTTATTAAGAAGAAGTCATTCAATGGTTTTAAACATATTTGACCCCTGTGACCTTGAATATATATGTCAAGGTCATTCATTTGAACAAACTTGGTAGTCCTTCATCCCAGCATGTTACTGGCATTATATTAGGCCTCTTGGTTATTCAGAAGAAGTTGTTTAAAGGTTAAAAACATATTTGACCCCTGTGACCTTGAAAAAAGATGAAGGTCATTCATTTGAACAAACTTGGTAGCCCTTCATCCCAGCATGTTACTGGCCAAATATCATCATCCTATGCCTCTTGATTATTCAGAAGAAGTTGTATAAAGATTTTAACATATTTGACCCATGTGACCTTGAAAATGGATGAAGGTCATTTATTTGAACAAACTTGGTAGCCCTTCATCCAAGCATGTTACTGGCCAAATATCATCACCCTAGGCCTCTTGGTTATTCAGAAGAAGTTGTTTAAAGGTTTTGAACATATTTGACCCCTGTGACCTTGAATATAAGGCAAGGTCATTTATTTGAACAAACTTGGTAGCCCTTCATTCCAGCATGTTACTGGCCAAATATCATCATCCTAGGCCTCTTGGTTATTCAGAAGAAGTTGATTAAAGATTTTTACATATTTGACCCCTGTGACCTTGAAAATTGACGAAGGTCATTTATTTGAACAAACTTGGTAGCCCTTCATCCAAGCATGCTTCTGACCAAATATCATCACCCTAGGCCTTTTGGTTACTGAGAAGAAGTTGTTTAAAGTAAAAAGTTGACGCCGGACGCCGGATGGATGACGGACGCCGCACCATGCCATAAGCTCACTTGGCCCTTCGGGCCAGGTGAGCTAAAAATGATGATGTTACTCTCACAAACAAATGACGTAACAATCAGTACCTGCTATCAAGAGTAGATAACTCTGCAATACGAAAAGACGGGATAGCCTTAAAGACATTTTGATTGATGCATTCAAGTTGACTGGGCCCATTGATATGTCAGTAAGTAAGAGCCATGTTATAACAATAAACACTTGTATGAAAGTACTGTGTATATAACTAAATTGAATCAAATACTAACACATTATCAGTTTTCAAACCATATAAAAGAGATACAGTGTATAGTGGCAAAGATGGTTACCAGACCTTTACTTAAGGGTTTCAAATCACATACCGGTATATATCTATGGCGAATAAATGATGAATTTTGTTTTTTTATCATGAAACATTTATAACATACATTATCAAACAATTGAGTAAAATGAAGATTTTTATTTATTTTTTATCATGAAACCTTAGACGAAATATTATTAAACAGTCAAGTTGAAATAAGCATTAAAACAAAAGTTTTATAAAAGGAAGCGCTCTTTTGGAGGTACACATATGACTAGACCCCTATCATACCCTTGGTCACCTCTCAAAGCCTGTCACCTACCAGTCAGGGGCAGAACCCTTGACAAATCAGTTGTCATTGAGAAACTTAGTATCAGTGCTAGAGGAAACTTCATTACTTGTTTGTTCTTAGATCCAATCGAAGTCTGCACATGTAGGTGATAATAGCAGATAGGATTCAACATTTGCCAATATAAATACAACAAAAGTACAGTAAACCTAGGCATGCATCAATGTACAAAATATTAATGATACATGTCCTTTTTTCCAGGCTTTTAATTTTTTTCCTTCATGACCTTTTAGCACAATTGACTTTTAAATGGTGGCAATGTTGGGTATAAAGTTTACATTCGTGTTACTGATAAGTGACAGGATTAAGGAGGCTGGGAGTATCAGGGGAAAATACCTCAACAGGTTGACAGAGGTAGAACATACAAATGGTATACAAAAACTTTATCAATGGTTAAACAGTTTTACAAGTCAAAAACCTTTTCTTAAACACTTTATACCTAAATAGAAGTACAAATGAATGATGAATGTTGGTGAAAAATTATAAAAAATCAACACAGAACTAAAGTGATCGACCAATTAACAGTATTTTTAACAACATACATACTTTTTAGGTCACTGGTTTATCGTAAGTGTACATAATTAATTCACCACTAAATTTTTGTACTATATATTTCTACATTTATAATTTTTAATGAATATTCCTGATACTACTTTTGTTTGCTATTTTAACAAAATACACAGCTTGAAAAAGCAGTTTCCTGAATATTGAATTTTTTATGTTTTTATTTCCCCTTAAATTACAGGTATCAAAGCTCATGCAGAATTTTCTTTTCTCATGAATTTGGAAATGTAAAATATTGCTTCAATAGCATCATGAATGAGTAGGAAAATTCAGTAAGAAGGAATGTAGAAATTCATAAACAAATGTGTTGTGAACTAATAACTGCCACTTACAGTATTTGACCACTTATCTGTAGAACACGTCTTACTTAACGACTTGTGATGCCACAATCTGATGTAGGGGAGATTTGTTATATATATCTAGTTATAGGTAATGCGTGCTGGGGAACTCATTACTGTTGTGGTGATGATACTAATTCTACTGTGGTCACAGATAACATACAGACAAGCAGTTCCAGATAGATGTAACTACCTCGTATCTATAGCAATGGCTGTGTTACCCAATTTTTAATATATATTGTTAAACTGTCTCAGATGATCACGGATAATTTTATCTTCTATGATTCACTTGTTCTGAGCATGACATTAAAGCACCACGTATCTGTAGTCCACTTATCATCAATACAAGGCTAACATTAATCCACAAAATATTGTACACCTGTTCCTACCTGCAACCATATTCACTTATATATCTCTATATATACCTTTGTTCTAACTTCCATCACAGACAGACCAACATATTTAGCCCCCCCCCCCCCCTACTGTTTTCCTTTTTTTAGCTCTTATTGAAAGAATATAGGCGCCCCTTTCCAAACACTCTCCAGTTAACAATATAAAGAACTCAACCAGAGTGAGTCAGTATAGGGATAATTTTTCATCAGACACAACTTAAGTCTCCCAGTCAGATCAGACACAACTTAAGTCTCCCAGTCAGATCAGACACAACTTAAGTCTCCCAGTCAGATCAAACACAACTTAAGTCTCCCAGTCAGATCAAACACAACTTAAGTCTCCCAGTCAGATCAGACACAACATAAGTCTCCCAGTCAGATCAGACACAACATAAGTCTCCCAGTCAGATCAGACACAACTTAAGTCAGATTGTAGAGTATTTGTATATATTATCAATGACAATGTACACGGACATTTAATTTACTAAAGGGAAATTTGCAATTAAATTTCATTTTGTTGAGCTGGAATAATAATAGTAGTTATGATGATTACTTGATATGTAATTATTCATAGCAAACATTGTACCATTTAAAGGGGACAGCCGAAATATAAACGAGACAGAGTGATACAGTAAGTCAAGTAAGGCAAGGGGCAACACAGATAGCCATTAATGTAAACAAATAGAAATGTTTAATTCAGTAATAGAGAAATGTATATGTACCTCATACTTAAACTACATGTAGATACCTAGTTTTATAAGTGTGTGATAAAGGACAAATACCTAACAGTGTGACACTGTTCTGTTTGTGTCCACTAACAAGGTAACCATAGCTACAGTGGTATCTTGTCTGTCCAGACACTTACTTATGGAAAAAATATATAATCAGAATAAAACGTCCTATTAAAAAACTTTGATGACCTCTGATTGGAAAACTAAATACTAAATATAAGTGTACAGACTTGATTGCTGTGGTGTGGATTCGAGAGGTTGCACTGTATTTATTTGGTATTGTATTGTTGAATTCGTTTGACCTTAACGAAATTCTTCACACAAGATCATTGTCAAGAAAATACATAATAAACTTATCTACTTACATTGATATCAATCAAATAACTCGGACAATACAAAATAATTTTGATTTTTTTCATGTTGCATATATTTACATCTGTGAGCTATATACAAACACTACTGATCCAATGAATGACGTACCTTTTACATACCTGTCTGTAGGACATAGGGTACAGGTTCTACCTATACATATACACCATGTTAACACTCACACAGATACTCAACAAAACACGAGTAATTATAGCAACAGTTACACACTGAACAAATTCGATGATGAATCGGTAATCTCCCTAACTACATTGGAATGTCCCGGAGAGAAACCAACATAGCACAAAACTTGATAACAATGTGGCACAATTATCTTTAAAAGTTTGATCACCCACATTGCACTTTGAGTGTTCAATGGTTCTGTGTTACATATGTGGCACATTTTTATAAACACAAGAGAATTACTACTCACAAACCCTGTAGAAAATCCTACCCTCTAGTTCCACTTGTTGAAACGTATAGTGTAATACAAGTGCAATGAAGCGACGACCAACAGGAGGAAGCCGAAGAACGGTATAATATCCTTATAGAACATGCTGTGCCAGGCAGGTGACTGCTAATTGAGCGTGCGCCCTGTTGCCCAGGCTGCCTGGTCTAGACTATAGTTTCTTTGCCAGACTACAAATCAAGCAGTAATATCATGTCTATACCTTTATAAACTTCACCATCTGTTCTGAAGTAAACATAACAAGACGTAATTTTTTTTCACTTTTTTTCTTCTAGCTGGAGCAGATGCAATAATGAAATCTGCACAACGAACACATACCATGTAAAATAACAAACCCACATTTTCCAATTGTGACACCATGTATGCATTGTGTGTTGACAAGATTAAGTTTACTGTTTAGTATACTAAAACAAGCTTTCCTTTCAGAGAAACAGACACATCCTGAGATGCTGCAGTATATAAAGGAACCACACCCTGTGGTGAACAATTGTTACTGGGATCATGGTTCCTCTAAACTGAAATAACATCCAATCCTGACATTGGCTCACGGAAACACATCTGGTTCTGAAGTGGTTCCTGTAAACAAAGGGATCACAATAGCTTCCCATCCAAAAAACCACATTAAATGATTCCAATACAGCAATGAAGAAACCAGTCCAGTCCTGGCCCCAACAAACAAAATCTGCAATGTCCGGGGCCGGAGCGGGTCTACACTGTGGAACATCTGGGTTGTCAGCCATGTTCCATTAGCCATGACCGTTTCAAACACAATCCATCACCCTTCTGGTTGAGACGAGTCCTTATCCTTGATTTAAAAGATTGGAGACCGACATACTTTTCAAACTTCCATATTACAGGTGCAAATTCAAGACAAAAGGAAGTGAGTTGTCTCCCCTTTCACAAAATTATTCGAAAATGGTTTCTATTTGTTAATTGAAGTAAATACATCAGTAATCTCCACATTAGGTGAGATATATTGTTCTGGAATTGGTAAAATCTATTCCAATGCACGTAGCAGTGTTCAAGTTGAATTAAAACTGAAATCCTTTTGGTTAAATCACTAGATGTTTTTGGTTATGTCCATAGATGGAGCTGGTGACAGATGTTGGAACGTCGGATACAGTGAGTACAGAGCATCTGTGTAGACTTGTACTTGTGGTTTTCTGCCATCATCACAGTCACGTACAGACTGTCTTGGTGTTTCTGAAGTTGAATTTGACCTAAGAACCTGTACATGTGTTTTCCTGAAAAAAATTACAAAGGAAGGTATATAAATATATCAATATGGCAAAGTAGTGTACTAGTAGGGACTATATAAAATATAAATTATTACAGCTTTATACAATTGTTTTTCAGATTAAATTGTTTATTCAAATACATGATGAAAATATATGCAGTTATTTAATTTTTCAAAGAAGCACTGTACTGTTTCTGGCCAGAAAGCCCTGCCTGATAAAGAACTGAAGTTCACATTCAGAGTTATACCAATCTTTCTTTCATAAACTAAATCTTTTAAATACACATGTTTTTCTCTGTTGAAACGTTTTTGTTTATCCTTTGTTAATTTGCTTACCCATAGTTCTCTGATCCTTTTCTGTTTTTCAAATTCATCACACCATTCCTCAAATTTCCTTTTCCATTCTGTTTCTATGTCACCATTGTCTAGAAAATCAAGAAAAAAGATAAATTAAAACAATATAAAGTGATGTATTTAGTAATGTATTTTGAATGCAAAAGCATGTATCTTACTAAAGAAATGTGGTGTATTTTTTTTGTTTGTTACAGGTTTATTAACCTCACAACGTCCATGGTCATATGATGTGATAAACCTGTTTACTCCCACTCTTTTTTAGCATGGTAATTGTGATCATTATTTTACTAACTACCTATATATGTTATCATAATGAACAATGTTTAATGTTTAATGATCTGTATAAGCTGTTACATGTACTCTCGTTTTAAGATATATATACCAAAATCCACATGTCTGGCAAACAATTTATTACTATAAGTTGTTTTATTGTTATGTCTGTGATAATGTTGTAATTGTAATGTTACTAACTGATATTTTACTAACAAGAGGACCCTGTGGAAGATAAGCTTTGCTCAACAGGTTTTATCATCAGAAACTAAAGTTTATTATTATTATGGAGGTGAAGGCCCAGGAATACACTGCCGAAAAGAAAGACAGAAAAGAAAGGAGACAAATCCAAAGTCTTAAAGAAAGACAGAAAGGAAAGGAGATAAATACAAAGTCTTAAAGAGAAACACAGGCTTTTCTTAAAAGCTGAAAATATTTATTTACTTCACAGCATTAATGTTTGCTCAACAATCCTGATTCTGACACCGACCATGAGGAACCTTAATTACTAAGAAAGTAGATCTAAAACCTTGTAAAATAAGTACCATCAGAAGGTATTTTCAGTTGTCTTCCTTGCCACTTAATGATTTATAGCATTTTGTTGAGATTGAAAAAAAAAAGTTTTTGTTCTCCTCGCAAATATAGTGAAACTGCGAACAAAAGCTGAAACAAATTAAGACTTGTTTGCAACACATGTACAACAATCACCCACCCGAATGAAATCTTACTTTCTAAAACGTTTAGGTCATACTCGGACAGAACATTTCCCATCTCATCCACAGCACTGTAAATTCCTTTATGATCTGGTTCTATGTTTGTTATGATCAGTGACCCTTTGGGGTCAATATGAAAATGGTCTCCGCGCTCTCCAAACATAATGTCAGTAGGATTGGTGCCAGAGGTTTTCCTGTACTTCCACCGGATTGACCGCTGTATGGTACACTTCATGTAGGAGATGTCCAGTGTTACGGAGCTCCCCCTTGTCCTCACTTTGTTAGCCATAGCTAGAAAACACAATATCAAACTTATCCATCAGAATTCTTTGCAATACTTTTTATCGCTTTCATTTCAATCAAGGAGCAAAATATGAAGAAAACTTCTAACGGACTTCCAGACCCCAGTGTAACATGAAGCAATCCCAATAAACTTCAAAATTCAATGTTGTTTATATCTTCATTCACATATAAAATGTGATTTTACATAAATACGCCTGCATTTATTGTACACAAAAAGTATTGTTGTTATCCCATCTTATTGAAAGGATTTGGGCCTCAGAGACATAACTGTGAGGTCTGGGGCATTAGACATTTTAATTTGAGCAAAGAAATAGTCACAATTTAGAGTTAGATCCTATGTTTAGAATATCTGACAACCCGCGCTTCAGGAATGTGGTCACAAAACTCACGTGCTTGTGGCGTGTACGCTTTTATATTCTTGTATGTGTAGTAGTTGACCGCTCTGAAATAAATACAGAAGTTTCTTAATAAGCATTTTGATTAACTACATGTATATTAAAGGACTGAATATTGCTTATGGTGGATTTATTGGGTGATAAATTGAGTTCAGTCTTGAGACAAATCTAACGAACTATGAGTCGGTCAATATTGAGACTTGTCTTGAGACATACCAATTTCATCCTCTGTGAAATGGACCACAGCAATATTCAATCCTTATATCTCAACTAGAACACTGACAGGTCAGTAAGGGCCCCGTCTTGTGGCAATATATCCCCCATAATCATCAAGAAGCAATCTGCCCATATAGCTGAGCTTGACGTTTGACATTTGAACTTCAAAAAGAATCGCAAGGAAGCAAAATATACATTTTACATGTACTATGATGTGAGTCTTGTTTCCTTCCACCTCCATATTTGCTGGGCTAACAGAAATGTAAATACCGGTGCAATACTCATTTGTTAGCTTTGATTTGTTTTATTTCACCTTATATACCTCCTCCATCAAGAGCCAGGGTCAAAGACAGAGATCCACTTTGTCTTTGACCTTTGGACCCAAATGACCTTAACCATTAAACCAATGACCCTGATCTTTGGTCAGTTGACTTATTCTTTAATTCCGACCATCTTTGCTTCTTAATATCATAACAAAATGTTCTTCAGTGAAAAATACAAAACTTGACCTTGACCCTTTGGACCGCATAACCTAGCCCTAAGGTCAGTTGACTCTGTGTTAAGTTCTGAACAACATTGCTTCATAATGTCATAACAAAATATACAAAATTTAACCTTGACCTTTGACCCAGTGACCTTGACATTTGGTCAGTTGACTCCTTGTTTAATTCTGATCAACTTTGCTTAATCATGTCATAACAAAATGTTTATCAGTAAAAAGATGTAAAATTTGACCTTGACCTTTGAACATAATGACCATGACCTTTGACCTTGACTTTTTATCTCAATGTGTATTTTAGTGAACTGAACATCTTGACCAAGTTTCATGTACATTGGTCAATAAATACTCAAGTTATCAGCCAGGAACAAAATTTGTGGACGGACAGACAGACAGACAAGGTGATTACTATAGGGCACCCGTATCTCCGATACAGGGCCCTAATTAAACTCATTTATGAATACCTGGAAATGGTTTTGTCTAGCATTAGCTGACTACTTGTGAAAGTCTATATATGTGAAGTTGAACAGAAATTCATATGCACAGGAAATATAGATCTGCTTCAATAAGATCTATAGTCATAGCCAGACAAAGGAACCAGTGGGTCTTGAAACGTTGCGACATGTTTAATACGTACATTGTTCCTGTAGAAAGTAAAATTTTGATATCAAATATAGATCTGGTCAATTTTAAGGGTTAATAGAACAAACATTTTTTTTGTAGTTTCATCGAGTCCAACTTAAGTAGAAATTGAAATATTATTTAATTTTATTTTGGTCAATACTGAAAAGATTTCATCACCTGATTTCAGCTACAATAAAGGTAAATCAATTTCCTACATGTATCACCGTAAATCTTGTAACACTCCAACACATTTAGTTACCACCAATACATCAGTTAAAAGTTACAATGCATTATAATGCCAGGTTGATAAATTAGAATTCTTGAATGAAGTAACTTTAAAAAGGAAAGGTAATTCAGAAATGGAAGAAATGTTCATAAAGGAAAACTATTCAGTTACAATCATTGTAAAGGGAGGTAACAAAAACTCACTCGTTGAAGTAATTCCTGTCCATTCTGATACATTCCCCGGGAACAATTTTCCAGGCACAGTAGGGGTCGTTAGCACAAGTGTCCGTCTTAGTATACTTGCTACAGGTGTCTATATGGATTTGTTTGACCGCCGTATCAGATCCAACATATATACTCTCTCCCTGAATGAAACAAAGGTCTCTTGTAGGCAGGTTTATAATGGTGTACATGGTGTACAAAATACAAAACAAGGAGATCACATTTCAGATGAGTCAAGATATTCACAAGAACTCTATTTAATCAATACAATAATATTATTTACATAAATGAAATAACATATTCCTGTTTCTCATGATGTACATTAACTTTGTAACCTATGCTTGAGTCATTGATTGGCTGCTGAAGATGGCTGCTGATTGACCTTTGACCTTACCTTAAGTTTCATAGCCCATATGGGTTCAGGAATGTTGAAGAGGTTATATACACTGGAGACTATGCCCTGCTTGGAACCGTGCTCTAGGAATATCTTGTAAATTTGGCCTTTACCTGTGAAAACGAATGTAAGACATAAACAGAAAATGTCAACATAAAATGTCTTTTTATTATCTAACTTTCTTCAAATCAAGCATTTGATTGGCTATATCTATTCTAGCAAAGTTCTGTTTCTTCATATTATATTTTCATGATTAAGTAATAGGAAATTAGATTCTGGATCTACTTACTTGTGGAAGCGAAGAAGACCAGCTCGTTTTCCATGTTGATATCATGTGCTACCTCTAACTGATGCATCTGTGTTCCCATCTCGTAGAAGATTGGCTTCCCGTTGAGGTGTTGTACAGCATCGTCCATAAGGGGGTTTAGTCGTATAAAGGACAGAATAGCATCTGATAGGTCCTTTGAATTATTGTTACACTGAAAAGGTGAGAATATTGATGAAAAATTTGTCAAATATTGTCAAACATCATATGATAACACTTATCAGGCAGTTATACCATAATTGAAACATATGTGCATGTGGGTTACAAGTATTGCATATATGGTAAGACACTATATATCACATACGAAAACTAGCCTGAATAGTACAGCCAGGGGTTCCTTAGCAGACAAAAAACAAAACCTTTACTCCAAATCCCTGGTGACATACTATTTACCAGGAAACTTTCGCCTAGCTAAATATTTGCCTTTCACCAGCAAAATCCATGTTCACCACGTGAAATTTACTATCATTGTCGAGGGCAAAAAAGGATAAAGTTAAACTGCAGTGAAAATTTCCCAGAATACAGTAATTCACGGTCTTATATACAGTTGAAAAAAGGTGACATTGCTTGATCAAGAAAGACCAGATAAAATAGGATATAAGACATGTTGGCAGTGTGAAGGAATTGACTATCACATTAAGAGATCACATGACTGACCATTGTTGAGCTTGTGACGAGCAATAAAATAACTTCTTCAAAATTTTGATAAATAAATATCAATGATTCAAACTATTATTATGCAACACAGTGCAATCATCTTGTAATAAAGAAAAAGAAATTTCTACAGGTACACTGGAACTAAGGTTTTAAGATGATACAGTTGACTTACATTGGATAGTCTACTGGACAAGTTAAATATCTAAACTTTAAGAAGATATACAGCCTGTCGACTTACATTTGGTAATTATACTGGACAAGTTAAATATCTAAACTTTAAGAAGATACAGCCTGTCGACTTACATTTGGTGGTCTACTAGGCCAGTTGGCAGGTTCGTTGTCAGCAGGTAGCCAGTTGGAGTTGGCGTTAGCCTGTGACTTAAACTTTCCTCTGTAGGACCTTAAAATGTCACTGACATTGTACGCACAGATAGCTGAGGCTGATATACCATTCCTGTGGAATAAAATAAAATTACACACAATAACACATGTATTGTGATAAATTTTTGATTTTTGATATTTTAAGTTGAGCTACTAACGGTAAATGTACATTTGTTAACAGTCTATGCCGCATACCCCCCCCCAATTTAAAAAAAATATATATTGGTTACTCCTTATAATTTAATTTAATTAAAAAAAACCCACTTCCTTTTATATAGTTAATGAATATTTATAAAAACAACATTTTGTTTTACAAAACACAACACAAGATTTTATTGCTGAGCAACTTCAACCAAACAGACGTTAGAATTACAAATACCGCACCAAACAATGTTGTATATATACGACGTCATCACTTTTTGTGTTGTCTTCTGTTTTAAGGCTATATGATATAACCTTTAAAAGTTTATCATTGGGGGAATAGCCATAATCAGATTACAGAGAAATATGATAAATCCGTCTGCTGTTGGCTTACATGTTCTCTGTCCTATAGCATAACAGTTATTTCTTCTCTGTCCAAAATCAAACATTAAGGCCCAATGGGCCTGCATCGCTCACCTGGTATTAATCTCACAATTGTAACCTTAAAAGTACACTTAAATAAAGCTACAGGCAAAATATCAGTGTCTTAACTTATTAAAGTCATTCAGAAGTGTATTTTTGTATTGGGAAGATGATTTTTAAAGATTTATGCACTATGGACCAGATGTGACCTTTAAAGTGTGTAAAGGTCATTCACATGAACAAGCAATCACCCTGGACGCTTTAGTTATTCAGAAGAAATTGTTTGAAGATTTCAACATATTTGACCCCTGTGACCTGGAATATTGGCAAAGGTAATTCATTTGAACAAACTTGGTGACCCTTCATCCCAACATCCTTCTGGCTAAATATCATCACCCTAGACCTTTTGGTTATACAGAAGAAGTTGTTTAAAGATTTCAATAATTTGACCCCTGTGACCTTGAATATTTGTGAAGGTCATTCATTTGAACAAATTCGGAACCCTTGATCCCAGCATGCTTCTGGTCAAATATCATCACCATAGACCTTTTGGTTATTCCGAAGAAATCATTTAAGGGTTTTTAATACAATTGACCCTATGACCTTGAATATGTTCGAAGGCCATGCATTTGAACAAACTTGGTAGCGCTTCATGCGAACATACTTCTGGCCAATATTCAGAAGAAGTTGTTTAAATTTTTTAGCATATTTGACCCCTGTGACCTTGAAAATAAGCAAAGGTCATTCATTTGAACAGACTTGGTAGCCCTTTATCCCAGTATCCTTCTGGCCAAATATCATCAGTCTGGGCCTCTTGGTTATTCAGAAGAATTTGTTTAAAGTAAAAAATTGACGCAGGACGGACGGACGAACGAACGGACAGACAGACCAGGTGAGCTAAAAACAGATCAAGGCTAAAGTCTTTCCTGAAATATATTCAAATATCCCCACCTCTTTCTGTGTTACCCTTGCTCAGTAACATACTTTCTTCAGAAGAAAATATTGAATTAAATAATATACTTACACATTTGTTGTGAAGAGGCCATAGAATATATCCCCAACTCGCTCGACATCCTCTGTAATATAGACACAGATATTATCATAACATCAAATATACATACAGATTCTTACTAACGTCCCCAAACACACCTATATAACATCTAATGTGTACAGATTCTTACTAACATCCCCAAACACACCTATATAACATCTTATTTGTACAGATTTTTACTAACATCCCCAAACACAACTATATAACATCTAATGTGTACAGATTCTTACTAACATCCCCAAACACACCTATATAACATCTAATGTGTACAGATTCTTACTAACATCCCCATACACACCTATATAACATCTAATGTGTACAGATTCTTACCAACATCCCCAAACACACCTATATAACATCTAATGTGTACAGAATCTTACTAACATCCCCAAACACAACTATATAACATGTAATGTGTACTGATTCTTACTAACATCCCAAAACACACCTTTATAACATCTAATGTGTACAGATTCTTACTAACATCCCCAAACACAACTATATAACATCTAATGTGTACAGATTCTTACTAACATCCCCATACACACCTATATAACATCTAATGTGTACAGATTCTTACTAACATCCTCAAACACACCTATATAACATCTAATGTATACAGAACCTTACTAACATCCCCAAACACACCCATATAACATCTAATGTGTACAGATTCTTACTAACTTCCCCAAACACACCTATATAACATCTAATGTGTACAGATTCTTACTAACATCCCCAAACACACCTATATAACATCTAATGTGTACAGATTCTTACTAACATCCCCAAACACACCTATATAACATCTAATGTGTACAGATTCTTACTAACATCCCCAAACACACCTATATAACATCTAATGTGTACAGATTCTTACTAACACCGATATCCTCTGGAATACAGACATATCTGTTATCATAACATCTAGTAATACAGATTAATTCTTACAAACATGCACCCCCAAACTCTCAGGAATGCACTTAATGGATAGTAAAACCAACTTACGGATTTCATCAAAGTATGATGGGAAGTCTCCAGGAATAGAACAGTTGAGTCTAGCCTTCTGGAACGATGTCCACCCGTTCCTCAGGATACTTCTGGCTCCTCCCTGATCCCTCTACATTAACACAAATTACACGGCCCAAATCAAAACTATGAAATACAAAACATGTGCCTAGTCACTACACATGTGGAAGCAATGTCCTCAAAATATCACCGCTACTTATTCATTGTCATTAAACTAATAATCATGAAAAAGATTTGAAAAAATTCACCATCTAGGGCTGTTAAGTTTATAAAGTTTAAAAACAAAAAACTTCTTCAGTAGCTGGGGAAAAAACCCATAACAAGTTGGCCTTTTATCTCTAATTGGTATTAAAAATATAAATGATACACATTTACAACCATCATTCGATTAATATAAAGTAGGTTAAACCATATTTTTTTGTATTCTAACACATAGCTGTTGCTCCAAAAGTCGTGGTATAAAATTTTATAAGCACTTAAGTTTGATTTATTTTTAGGACAAAAATTGTTACAATAAAATAATATTGCAGCGTATTGGCCTGTGTATAGAGTAACAGACATCAAGGTTACAGATAACATTCTAACAGAATGGCACAGGGTTTATGACAAATTATGCTATTTTAAAGGAACACCATCATCATTTTATGAACCTTGCAGAGGAATGACAGCTAGTACATCTATACCAGTATATGTGGGGTGTTTTTTTGCATAAAAAATCAGAAGTTTTAAATTATGTACACAGCTTTTAAATTTTGTTTTTGAAGATTTCTAGGTCTGTAGTGTTAATTGACTAGAAATGTTCACTATTATCTAGAATTTGCAGATTTTCATTACTACAAAAAACAAAATTTGAAAAAATAACACTGATAGAACAAAGTACATTATCAAATTTTCTAAATACATGTACTATCAATCAAAGTCTGAGGCCAAACATTTCAGAATTATAATCTAAATCCTGTAAAAGAAGGTTCAAGGTAATAGAAATATTCCAAAACTCCACATTCATGGGGAGAGATGAATCACTTGTTGGAGGCCATTTTTACCTTGCAGATCTTTGCCACTCTGGAGAAGACCCGTTTCTCACAGTTGGTAAATTCCAATGCTACTTCTCTGAAGAAGATGTAGACACTGTCACCCATGTCGAAGGAGCCAACAAACTGTCCCTCTGTTATCAGAAATTCAAATTTCATATTCTAAAACATTACCAAACACTGGAGTTTCTTTAATATTTTTTTTCCCTTAGATGTCTTACCTAAAACAATAAATCATTTCATTTTCTTTCATTGATACGAATAAAACAGGAGGCATAAATGGGCTGTACGACTCATCTGTATTAATTAAACACTCATATTTGCATATGGCACAATTATGATCCCTGAACATCAAATTGGAAATTTATATATATATATATGTCCTGCTACATATAATAAGTATCAAATTTGTGGCGATAACGTTTTAAATTGTATAGCATTCCACTCGTGACTAAATATATTAATCTTATGTCTATTTAAGTTAGAATTGTCATGTTATTTGAAGTACAGAAATGACACATCAAGTTGTTAACCAAAGGGAAATAACTCTTACTATTTATCCAGTTGTCATCATCGACTGTCTTCATGTAACCACTAGACTCCACCCCGTTGTCCAGCAGACGAGGTCTGTAGATAAATGGCCGTCCAGAGGCACTCGTTCCAGAGTACAGGGCCGACACATTGCCAGGGTTTCCACTTTCTGTATTACATAAACATGTTTCAGTTTAAGATGCCACAGGCAGTTGTAGTGCCCAAAATGATATGATGCTTCAGATGTTCTAATTTCATTTATTCCTCAGCGTATGATAAATAATATTTTCATATTACATTCTCTGTTATCATAGAATTATAAATGTGTTTTTTGTCATAAAAAAAATTAAAGATAATTTGGCAACTTTAATGAAATGTACCATATATACTAAATGCACACATTTATCATTTAAACATCTATAAGCCTGGGGATTGATCTTACCAACATAAAGCGCTGTGGAGTTTTGGAATGGATCGTTAGGACACATGGATTCGGCACTTATGCCCTGGCCATCGCTCGTCTCCATCACATCTATCTGGAATGGTAATATGTAACGTCGTAATCACACTGTACATGGATATAGAGGTAACTCTATCAACGAACCAGACTAATTAATTAGTACAAGGGAGGCTAGCATCATACAGGAACCTCAATGGCAATCTTAACGATGTACAGCTACATATATTGATATTCAATCTGTGAGTAACTTATGATTTGAGAGAAAACATATATCTCAAATAATGTTTTTGAATTAATATATCATTGATATTAAAATGTCCTCTGAAGATAACTGATGCACTAAAATCAACAGATACATATAAAGAGTAGCATTACTGATCTGTTAAAACATGTAATGTTCATTTAGTATAGCAGGTCTTTTCTTACTTCACAGGGAAAAGCTTATCACCTAGCCAAATGATGATTTTAAATCAAATTATGTAAACCGCGTAATAGTCTAGACAATATCAGATGTCATTTCCAGGACCAACCTCTACACACAACCCTCGACAGAAACTGCATGAGTTCTGCAGTGCGATACTGTTGGTAGTATTGAATGTTTCCAGGCCTGGAAAAATACCCTTCTTAGGTCAAGGGTCACACGCAGAAGTACACCTTAGAAATGATACTGATATTGTTGATGTAATTTGGGTAAATAATAAGTGTGCAAATACTATACATGTGTGTTACAGAGTAAGAGTACTGGTCTACCTGATACACTTTATAACACCACTGGGGTTCACTGGCCGAGATCTGTGTGCAGAGGTCACACAGAGGTCATGTGGCTTGGTATGGGGGGGAGGGGGTCACTATGATACAGGTACAGACATACACAGATATATACCAGCAGGGGCGAAACAACATGTAACATTATATAGGGACACATGCATACAGCACTGGGTACTGTTATAGCAACCTTCCCACTTTTGTTCCTGAAAGCGGAGGGCTAGACAGGTGGTAGATAGACAGCATATGGCATCAATTTGGCAACACATGAGATTCGTTATTAGATTCAACTTATAAACAATATTTTCCAAACAATTTTTCATTATTTTTTTTTTCTATTATGTCTTGCACTAATACCATTTGCACCTTTTTAAAAAATTGAATGAATTCTAATATGACAATCATCTTCGATCCTGTGTTAAAAGGAATCATACACAAATATTTTTCAAATAAAAAAGGAGAAAATGTCTTTAAGATTTCCTGTGACAAGACAGAATGTTTACAATTAAAATGTTCTTAAAGAGGTATTTAAATCCTGATTTTGTTATAAACAAGACATGTAGTTATAAACAAGACATGTAGACCCAGCTGACTTACATTGAGGGTGTAGCCGAGAGGCTCCGAGGCACCTGTCCCACAAAAATAGATCTGGTTTGGATCTGACGTCATATATCTTTCTATAAATCGAATATGATTCTGGCAATCTGGAATCTGTCAAGTAAAAACCAGTGGTATTATTATCTAATAAACGTTTTTTTTTTATACAGTATTAAGTATCTGAAGTTAAGAACAACAAGGATAGGTTGTGAATGATTCCAAGATTTCAGTTATCAAATACTTCTGTCTGAGTGGACTTCCATTGCATCTAAAATTATTAAAGAATCAAATACCTCACAAATGGTTTCTCTAATTTACCATATTGAACACAAAGTGTTGCAAACGTTGCTGTCCATGTATACAGCTGGATAGAAAAACCCTAGTGAGTTAAACTTGTATATATTTCATTCATCTTTTTTTTATTAAGGAAACTTAATTAATGTTGTAATATGATCATCATACTCACCTCAGGTTTTGCGTCATATTTGCAATAACTAATTTGTAAGTCTGTAGCTTGTACTTTTAACTTGTAGTGATCCTGCAAAAAACGAGAACAATTATCAGAAAAAAATCTTAACTACAAAAATTGCAGAATATATTCAAATATCATAACAGAAAATATCACAAATATTACAGTAAACCATTAACCATTAGGGTTACTCTATATATGAATTAGGTAGATATAATTTACATTCAAACCTTTGAAACAAAGGTGTATAATTACGAAGTGTCATTCGTGTCTGTTACAAGGACTTTTGTTTGCTTTGAAGCCCACACTACTAAAGCATGTGCTTTATTTTCAAGTACGAACTATTTTTGTAAATTCCCAGAGTTATTTTCAGAACTTTCTGTGTTTTTACTTGGAATTGAAGGAATTTGGAATTATATGGATTAAAGCTTGAATTTGTTTCTAGGTTCACATGGTATAAATGGGGATATGTATACTTCTATGTTTAATGATCAGCTGCAGCATAGCCTAGTCCCGTCATGTTTAGTTTGGAATCAAATTATAATAATACTATATATATACCAAGACTAAAAGGAAAAATAAATCACGTGTCTTAAGTCATTGGCTTTAACACTATTTCCTTAAAACTGTATCATTGTGAATTGGATTAATTACTAAAAGAAATGACCAGATATATATAATACTTACAAATTTATTTGATATATTGGCTACATTCAAGCGAATTATATGATTCCTGAAATGAAACAAAAGACAAATTTAATTAAACATAAATATCTATCAACATCAAATCCCTTACACATTACACATATTTACACTACAAATATCAATATAACAAATATCAAAATTACAAATATTAACATTACAAATGTCAACCAATACAAGGACCCCAAGTAGAAATTGTATATAACTCACCATCACGAAGGAAGGGTGATAACTCCTGTGATACTATACACCAGTCACACAAAACTCATGAGACAGGTACTTGCTAAATGTTCATTTCATTCTCATTTTTGGGGATTAACATCAACAGACTTTCCTACATTCTGCTGAAAAGCTCAAATATCAGCTTAAGTTATGCTTTTATTCATTTTATATTTGGCCTTAGTTTCTTCCATATGAAGCATGAAATGTTGGCAAGCATGAAGTCAAACGTCACGAAGAAAGTTGCGATCAACAAATATTCGTTCAATACAATTTGAACAAGAGGCCGTTGGGCCTGAATAACTTATGTTCAATATAAAACATTCACATACATCCTATTTCATACAAAAATACTTCCCCTTGGCCATAGAATGTTGTTTTGTTAAATTTGGTCAAAATTAATGAATTTTGTGGACTTGAAGTGTAAGAAATGAAAAATTGAGAGAATAACAACATTGATAAACAATAATCAATGCCATTCTAACATATTAGTTCACTTGCTCTACAGGCAGATGACAGTTTTAATAGCTTTTCTAGATTAAACATGAACCTGTCTTAATGTATACCAGTTTATGAATTATCAAGAGTGATTCATAATCAAATGATTATTTATAATAGATTTCTTCCTTGTCCATAAGTTGTTAACAATCAACCTGAAATCCTTTTTTAAACTTCCTGGACACTTAACCAGACTATATCTGAATGCTAAGGAAGTGTAGTGTATATACATCTGTTTGTCCTACTTTCAATACTTTTGTTTATTGTTGTCCTACCTTTGTTTATTGTTGTCCTACCTTTGTTTATTGTTTTGTTTATTGTTGTCCTACCTTTGTTTATTGTTGTCCTACTTTGTTTATTTTTGTACTACTTTGTTTATTGTTGTACTACTTTGTTTATTGTTGTCCTACTTTGTTTATTGCTGTCCTACATTTGTTTATTGTTGTCCTACCCTTGTTTATTGTTGTTCTACTTTGTTTATTGTTGTACTACTTTGTTTATTGTTGTCCTACTTTGTTTATTGTTGTTCTTCTTTGTTTATTGCTGTCCTACCTTTGTTTATTGTTGTCCTACCCTTGTTTATTGTTGTCCTACCTTTGTTTATTGTTGTCCAACTTTGTTAATTGTAGTCCTACTTTGTTTATTGTTGTCCAACTTTGTTTATTGTTGTCCTACCTTTGTTTATTGTTGTCCGACTTTGTTTATTGTTGTCCTACCTTGTTTATTGTTGTCCTGCTTTGTTTATTGATGTCCTACCTTGTTTATTGTTATCCTGCTTTGTTTATTGTTGTCCAACTTTGTTTATTGTTGTCCTACCTTTGTTTATTGTTGTCCAACTTTGTTAATTGTAGTCCTACTTTGTTTATTTTTGTCCTACTTTTAATACATCTGGGGTTTTTTTCAAGTTGACAAGGAAAAGCATAATCTTCCAGATAAATAAAAGTGTGACACATAGTAGCCTGTTGAGAATGTGTTTAGAGCAGTTATGTCACATAGAACCCTACACCTTTCTGAGAAATGTGATCCAGCGTATTGTGTCAGTATGATAAATGACTTCAACTCTCATCTAACCTAAATTAACACACATTCTTTATGAATATGGTTCAAGATTCAACCACTCAATCATTTTTATGAACTTTCCATGATTGAAGTCAAGTTGAAGAAGGAATTGAATTTGAAAACTTAAACATTTACAACTTCTTATTGTATAGCCGATTTATCTTGACTTCTCATCATGGTATAATTGAAACTTTCATGAATAAAATTGGTACAGAAAAGTAATTACAAATACTTACATGGCTCCTACAAATAATGAATTAGATGATTCGTCTATATGTAAATATCTGTAATATAATTTTTCTGGTGTGGTCATGCCAGGCTCAAACTCCTGAGATGTCTCCACTTTCAAATCTGAAATGACATATAAGAAATAAGAGATCAGTTTTGTCGTCTTCAAAAATAATAAACAATTCAATTATTTTTTATTCCAAATTTTATATATATTTTTGATATAAATGTTTTAGAATTATAGCTGGTAGGTTTATATAAAGCAACAATACCCAATAGTTACTGTGGAGTACTAATTTATATACAACAAGGGAGAGAAATAGGGTTTCTTAGGCTGTAATGTAGAAATACAATATTGCAAGAACTTGAGAGTAGCCTAGTTTTACTAGAATATGCTGTACTAGGCTAGTAAAGACAGATCTACAGAGAGACAAATACTCTGAATGACATGGAATACCTCCTTGTTTCTCTTATACAAGAAACGTGGAACATTTCAGGAATTCCGTTTCTCTGAGCTTTAAGATATTCCTGTCACCCTAACTTATCAGCTGACATCTCAAACATCTACATTATATATCTATACCCACATTATCTACATCCTGAGCATATACACACTACCATATAAGGGCTTACACAGAGTCTTTGTTAAGGGTGTATGCTACCATACAGCACCTCCATCCCTCCACTTATAATAAGGGCTTACACAATATCTTTGTTAAGGGTGTATGCTACCTTACATAACCTCCATCCCTCTACTTATATTAAGGACTTACACAATATCTTTGTTAAGGGTGTATGCTATCTTACAGCACCTCCATCCCTCCACTTATATTAAGGACTTACACAATATCTTAGTTAAGGGTGTATGCTACCTTACAGAACCCCCATCCCTCCACTTATATTAAGGACTTACACATAGTCTTTGTTAAGGGTGTGTGCTACCTTACATCACCTCCATCCCTCACCTTATATCAAGGGCTTACACATAGTCTTTGTTAAAGGGGAATGCTACCTTGCAGGATGATCACCCCTGACCACCATAATGAGGGCTTACAATAGCAGTAGTCAAGGATAAGTTTATGGATTACAGGCTACCCAATCCTTACAGATACCCATTAGAAGTTGATGTCAAGTAGTACCAAGGACTTTGGGTTGTCTCCTTACAGATACCCATTAGAAGTTGATGTCAAGCAGTACCAAGGACTTTGGGTTGTCTCTTTACAGATACCCATTAGAAGCTGATGTCAAGCAGTACAAAGGACTTTGGGTTGTCTCCTTACAGATACCCATTAGAAGCTGATGTCAAGATGTACCAAGGACTTTGGGTTGTCTCCTTACAGATACCCATTAAAAGTTGATGTCAAGCAGTACCAAGGACTTTGGGTTGTCTAAGTCAGGGGACAGAACTTAAAACCTTTTATCATTTTCGTGAATGCTCAACAGTAAAGCCATGGGAAAGGTATCTCTCAAAAAACCCCAGTGTAATTCATTGAGGTCACCTTTGAAAGAATCAAAAGGGAAGACAACTCTAACACAAGTTACAGGTATATGTATAATTTGCAAGGAAGTCTATAAACTTAACTCTGACACAAATCAGTTATAATGTGCAAGGAGGTATATATCCTGAAGGAAGATGAATCACAACTTTTGTTTTTGATGTTGTATTTTTTTTTTATTTCCTAACGTTTAAAGAGGAAATGATGTAAAATGTACACTTTGTAAATTACCTGAAATGTGACAGTGTTTGGTCACACACCTGATTGTTATCACAGGTGATGGTGACGTGGTCATTCAGCTGTATTAGTGAAAATTAGATCAATTATGACATTGAGCCATGTCAGGGAAAATAAGACCAACAAATAGGGATCGGAGATTGTTTTTTCATAATAGAAAATGTGACATTTTCTTCCTGGAATAATTCTTTTCAATACAAAATGCAATTTCTTTAGTTTTCCAGACATTTTCAACAGTGTATTATTTTAGCTGTCAGAGGTTGGCTAGTTAAATGGGTTTAGGTCTGGATTGATTGACTGACCAAAAGTGATAGCAGGGTTGCCCTGGATGACAAATGTTGCTATGTATGGCTACGGACCAAAACAGTAGATATGTCCTGGGTGACAGTTTAGTGTTACTATACACAAGGCCAAACGAGGATAAGTTAGTCCTGGGTGACATTTTGATGTTGCCATCGCTCCATTCAATAAAGGCTTGGCTCCAGCCATTTTTGATTATGTACAGGTTTATATTTGAATAATTTAGCACATCAAAGCCTATAAAAACCAGTTATTCATAGATGTTTTGGAATTCTTTTGGTTCAATCTTTGTTTATTAACTACTGACTTACCCCTATCCCTAGTATTAAAAGACAACCTTGACTGTTATTGAGCTCCAGGCTATGTATCACACTAAACACATTGCTAAGGAGCTGGTACAGCTACAGGTTTAGATCCATGTCTGTTAATTATTGATATGAGTAGATTATTTCCGCAGTAAAACAAAGCTTGAGTCGTATTGCGCTGTTGCCGGAGGTGACACCTGATGTGTTATCATGGCTGCCCTATAACCATGGAGATGGGGTCTGCTGCTATGACTAATCTAATCAGTTCTAAGACAATCAAGTAACAAGCTACAGATTTTTCTCACTAAATTTACACAGTACCAAAAGAATCCTTCTTATCAAAACTAGGACACATTAATTTAAACTAGTACTCTCCAATTTACCCATTTTAATCACAAGGGAGATAACTAAGCAGAACCATATATTTCACAGACTCGAAGGCACCAACTTACGCAGAATGTCACAGATATACAGCTGAGGCTCGAAGAAACAGCTACTTTTTACAACTTTTTTTTATATGAATAGCCATTTATACTCGACACATTAAAAAGAAAATTGCCCTCAATTGTCCAATTTATTAGGTCTGTTGCATTTTTATTAGTTTTTCATGATTTTCCTTAATTTTTTAAATGTTTTTTTTTTACAGGCTTATTTCATCACACTACACATGACATGGCAACAACAATGGTTTCTTTAAAACTGTTTAAAGAAATTATTTAACAAGAGAAGTAAAAGGGCCTGTATCGCTGATCTGGATATTTAAGCAGTCATCGCAAATTATTCTCATTAAATATTATGCTGTACTACGAATATTTCAATCGCAAACTTTGTCGGCTCAATCGGTTGAAGCTACCAGCCAAATATTATTATATGATTCTATGCTTCCCGGTTCTTCAGAGCGGTTGTTTGAAATGTTTGACATATAGTTGTCCCTGTAACCTTGTAAGTAGCTGGAGATCATTTTCCTTCTCAAACTGTGTTGGCTCTATCCCAAGCAGCCACCAGCTGAATCTTATGAATCCATGCGTTTTAGTTCTTTAGAACAAGTTGTTTGAAGTGTTGTTGACCTCTGTGACATTTAAAGTAGGTTGAGGTCATTTTCATTCGCATACTTTGATGAGCTCTATCCAAAGAAGCCACCAGCCAAATATTATGATTCTATGCCTTTAGTTTATTCAGAAGAAGTAATTTGATGTTTTTGACATATTTGACCCCTGTGACCTTGATAGAATGTCAAGGTAATTTTCACTCGTAGACTTTGTTGAGCTCTTACAAATGAAGCTTCAGCCAAATATCAAGACTCTAAGCCTGTCCATTAGTCATTTTCGTTCTCAAACTCGTTTGGCTCCACCAAAAGAAGCTACCAGCCAAATACTAAGATTCAATACCTTTCAGTTCTTCAGAAGAAGTCATTTAAAGTGTTTGACACATTTGATCCATGTGACCATGAAAGTAGGTCAAGGTCATTTTCGTTCTAAAACTTTGTCAGGCTCATACAAATGAAGCTTTCAGCCAAATATCATGACTCTAGGCCTGGCCATTATTCAGAAGAAGTTGTTTGATGTGTTTGACATATTTGTAGGTCAAGGTCATTTTCATTTGCAAACTTTGTCAGGCTCTTTCCCTGGAGTAACAGTGTGACCCTGTAAGGAGGCCAATGGCTCAATGGGAATGTACGATTGCCCTACACACAGTAGTAACACAGAGTGACCCTGTAAGGAGGCCCAGGGCCCAATGGGAATGTATGATTGCTCTATACACAGAGTGACCCTGTAAGGAGGCCCAGGGCCCAATGGGAATGTACGATTGCTCTATACACAGAGTGGCCCTGTAAGGAGGCCGGGGGCCCAATGGGAATGTACGATTGCTCTATACATAGTAGTAACAGTGTGACCCTGTGAGGTTATCACAGTTCACACAGTACCGTAGCCTGGTCTCACTTAACAAATTACACAGTAACATATGTTTTATTCATTGTATCCTGTGGATATATAAATGTTTTCCTTATCAAAATTAACTTTGGTGTTCTGGTAGAGAAGAAAATTAGCATTGAACACAGACTTATTGCAACAGACCATAAGTACACTGACTTGTTGTTGTGGATACTGTGGTGAAAGTTGGCCACAACTGGTAAAATCATCAGCATTTATCAACCGACTTGTACACAACATTACCACTTATGTGTACAAAGTGGTGTGCGGCAAGGACACGGAGAATAGCACAGAAAATAAACACATCTTTAATTTGGCCAAACAATATTGTGAGAAAACACATTTTTTCTCAACTTTTCCTTTGACACCCTAAAAAATCAACATCATTTTATAATATGTTATGTGTATGAACATTCATTTGTGAACTTGTAGAGCAGTCACAAAAACGTTTTTGTTAAATAAAGATTTGAGGAGACCTGTGGGTGGTAGCTAGGTCATTCATTAGGTAAACAGGTCAGCTACATTTATAGGTGGGGCTTTACAGGTCCTTTTTACCTGTAGGGGAAAGGTGCAAACAGATATACAGGTGAACAGCAAAATAGCATCAACATCACAGCAACACAGAGCTAACTTGATGCATGATTTACTTTTCACTGGCCTGTAGCTTGTAAGATTAAGAACTGTGACTAAAGTATGGTCCTACTAGCATTATATACCCCCTTTGAAGATGACCCTAAGTTCCTGTTTCACTTCCGTGCAACTTCCTATCTGCTCCTGGCCACTACAGTGTACGTGCACATTGATGCATCGGTTTATACTATTTTTGTATCTTGGCATTTTCTGATCAGGATATG